TTAACAACGCTCAATATGAAGACTACATGCAGGAGTTCTTGTGGAAAAAACAATTTGGAGATCGACGTGAGGCCCTGTACAACTTCCTCCTGGGAGCAGGTAGCAGCACTATACCCCTGCTGAACGAGTTTAACATCCTTCGTGAGCTAACCCAACGGCCCTCTCTAGGGCCACAAGTCGCAGAGCTGGTCAGAACAAGAGAGCAAGGACCATTCTGAATTAACTGTTATATATGTTTGTAATTACTTAGCGAGGACTTGTGTAATTCGACGGGCGAGTAGGTGGCATCTTGGTGCTATTACTCACGTTGACTTTGATTCTTAACTGTGAAGAGGGCAGAAGTCAGTGGACAACGGGCCGAGACGCTTTTGTAAGAAAACGTTCGTGAAAAAGGGTAGTGTGTTCGTTATAGATATGATCAGGACCTCGAATAACCCCTATATACAAGTTTACAGCGAATTTGGTGCAAACACCCTTGGCGCCAACTGGCGCCAATTTGGCGAAGCGCCAGAAATGGATACCATATTCGTGATCAGCAGCCTCGACAACTCCCCTGGTGCAAGTTTTCGACAAAAAAATTTTTCGACTCATATCACCCCCCAGGGGGTGTAACAGTGCAAAAGTGCCTAACCCAAGTCTGAGTTCGAGTTTATGGTGGCAATCGTGATATAATAAAGTCAGCGCTATCGTATCGTGTGATCAAGTTGTGGCAAAAAATAACGACTATCTTCGCTATACGCCAAAGTTGGCTCTTAAAGTGCCTTCCATTCAGCAGTTTTCATCGATGGTCGCAAAGTACGCTTGCACACAAAGGTTCCTAAAGCTGGGCAAATGCATGGGAAAATATGCGAAAAAAAGTAGAAACAGTTGAATAAATGTTTTCTGCACGTTCGCGTAGTACGATGGAATATTTCCCTTTTTCCTTCTCTGCAGTACAATTGTAGGGCAAGAACTGTTTGAACAGGTGATATTCGGCTAATATTTTGATTGTCTCATTAGTAAAGCACTTTGTAGTACAGGGTTCATTTGAGAGTCAATCAATCTGACGATCATTGGGCCCTTCAAGCCATTTTACATAAAACCCAAATAAAAGATGTGGGGGAGGGAGGGGGTGGGGGACACCAGCAAACAACGACGAAGTAGTTTTTGGTTTCAGTAACTTCAGTATCGATCGATCCGATCGATTCAAAATCTCGTGACGTATCAGACCTGCCAAGAAATCGAGCTTCTGGGCAACGTTAGTGATGCATGGCGCTATCCAGATTCCACCAAAAGGACTCTTCCTTATATTGAGAGCGCTTGTTTATTATTACTACAGGATAGTAAAAGATTGCCAGTGAGAGCCTCATTGTGATGCTCAGGTTCTACCTTTAGTTCTCAATAGCCCGCTGCCGAATTTTCTTCAATTTCGATGATCATGATGAATGACGGTGTCAGTGGTGTTTGATAGGATCATAAGAAATGCATAGCAATTTGTTTTTGCAATTGGAAGAAAGCTGGGTTCAGCCCTTAATTTGTTTGTTCTGTGTTGGCTATAGGGATTGACTAGGCTCCAGACCAGAGGAATAAGGTGGTTTGCGAAGTTTTCACTCTGATGAACAGTGTGTTAAGTGATCGTGCAAGCCACGGGTTCTACTAGTCCAGCGTAGAAAGCAACCCTCAGACCTGAACGGTAGATAACCTGAACAGTAACAGAGGCGGAGGAAAATAGGGTTATCACCAGCACTCGTTATCCTGCAGCTTTCAGCCAAGTGAACGAAGTCTAATGATCATAGGCGGAATTGCAGAGTTCGTTTCAGTGCCATGTAACCGCAACATAGGTTATTCGACATCGCCGATGACATACATCAGGAAAACATTTTTGTCATCCGTGAGCTAGTCAACTCTCAGTTTTGCTAAATTATCTTTGATTTTCTAGTGCACTATCAGAGCCACAGCCTCACCCTCTACTTTTTACTGATATTTGATCTGTTCAAGAAAGAATTTTTCGCTACCTATCACTTGAGGGCTAGCAGGGTAAGCGAGAGACAGCAAAAAACAACAAAATATTTATTTTTCCGATAAACTTAATAATCTTGCTTAGAAGGCATGTGATATCACGCAAATAAGGCTTTTCAAGGAAATATTTCTGTTACTTTTTAGGAATTCGGTCGATTTGTTTTTCCAACCTGAAAATGGAGCAGTAAACAACAGCAGATCTCAATAGCGATTTGATCAGTAGTCGTGTACTACAAAACCTATTTCTACAGCAATGTTTCCAACATGGGGAAGGGTAAAGAGGTCCAACGTGGTTGTGGGATGATGGAGTAAAGAATTCAAAAAAGTACTCACTCGTTTCTTTCGCTGATGTACCTTATGATTATATAAACCAGGGCAGCTATGCATATGACATAAAGAGCGTTCGTGAAACAAATCGGAATAATCTGAAAATCCAAAGTTAACGTATTTAATAAAATAGCAGTCATACTTGGAGAACGGGCGTCTGGTATCCCCTGGCCGGCCAAAAATAGTGACGCTGTCTATGAGAATAGTTTATTGTTAGCTACTCTATCATTACATAGGTTGAGCAGAAACACCGCTGAAATGACTCACATCTGAGGACCTATGTGGTCTAACTCCCAAGCTGGCTGACTTTCTGACCGTTTTAACCGCGATAGATTTCGATGTACCCTTATGTGCTCCAGTCGTTTTCTGTGTTTTCTTGTGAACTGTTCCTTCACCTGATAGTGTCTTCGAAGTTGATTTTGTAGCACCCAATGACTCGCCTATAATCATTGAAAATGTTGAATGAGAACAAATTCTGATCAGCATAATGAAGAATGGGTCGCTTCTATGTATATTCCGGAGGCACCTTCCTGCAAAACAGCCCGAAACTCTGAAGTATCCTCTGCCTTCGAAGTCCATTGAACTTACTGGGGTGCGAGGAAAGAGAAGAAAACCAGCAGAATCAAAACGTTGACAGTAAGGGAAGGTGGTTTTTGTCTTCTTCACTACTCCTTCGATCTTCCCACATCTTCAGGTGTGCAATCGCTCCCTGCTTAATACGGTGGGTCGCAAGTGGCTGTTAGAAGGATCAGATCGGATATATATACTGCAACATCTTCTGCTGCTTGCGGTAATACTCATTGAATTAGCCTTGGGTTTCTTCCTGTTATTCGGACTGTCAGCACTAATTTTTCTTTTCTTTCGACGTTTCTTTTGCGTTTTGCGTGAATTATTGTCTGTTTTCCACTTTTCAAGAACTTTCTGTGCCTCCATAGTGCATTCACAATGTTGACAACGGAGGGTAAACACATACATATGTACATTCCACATTCCCCTTGACAAATCACAGTATATTCACTTACCTGAGAGCGACTTCGAAGATGTTTTGGACGTTCCTTTTCTGCAATGCCAAATATGAACCATAACAAAAAACACTGGTAACAACATAACAGCCAATTTTGCAGCAATACATAACACTTGACCCTCTTTAGCCTACTCCCTCCCCCCTCTACCTCTCCAAACCAATACCAGGCCAATACCATGTACCTTCTACTCGGTATAACCTGGGATAGACATTCTATTGGAACGACTTGGCATGGCAATCTGCCTCTTATTGCAAGCAGTGAATCCTATATGGGACGCGAGTGAAATCGATTCGACCCATCTTGGGACTTATGATAAAAATACGATGTATGAACAAAGGGTAAAATTCATCGATATCGGGTCATTCCGATGATGCGAGCGAGGTGCGCGCCGTACCTTCGACTGCAGCTCAGATTGGTAAGGGCTTTTGGACTGGACTGGACTGGACTGGACTTTGTATGTAGCCTAAACAATGACTCGTGATGGTCATGCGATGTTCATGATCTTGTTTTATCCTCCAAGAGGAGGGATATAAGGCCTGAATCCCCTGGACCGGCAGCGAACTGGGTGAAAATGTAGTTGGGGGGGGG